TGCATATAATTGTTATACTTGCATATGTATAAGTGCACCTGTGTCATACAGTGCCCAGGGAGGACAGAAGAGGGCATTGGATTCCCTGGAACTGGAGTTATGGGTGGTTGTTATCCACCATGTGGGTGCTGGGATTTGAACCTGGCTCCTCTGCAAGAGCTGCCAGTGCTCTTAACTACTGAGCCATCTCTCCAACCCCTCATTAATTTTTTAAAAAAGAAAGAAATTATATTAGTTTATGGAAATGTCAGTTGCATGTTTTTCTCTAGAGTCCATGATCTCTTCAGCCAGGGGTAGTTGGCTAGGTTTATAATACCAGGCATTGCCGGGGGTTTGAACCAGCGACCCCCGGCTAGGTGAGGATTGGGGATGAGTAAGCATGCCTTTTGCCAGCCCATGCCGCCCCCGTTACCCGGGGACACTCAGACGCAACAGGGAGTCTTAGTCAGGCAGAGACTCATTTATTGCAAGTGTTCCAAAGCTTATAAAGGCACCTGGAACACGCCCCCTCCCCCTCCCACTCCCCCCACCCCAGCCCAGGGTCTATCTTAAGGATGGTCACGCACTGATCATGCACTTCCTCAGCAGTGCAGAAGTATTCTTCAGACTTTCAAAGCAAGCCAGGCCGTGCCCCCAGTAACTTCTTTTCGGACCTATGCAAGGTGGGGCCTTTAGGTCCCCACAAGGCATGAATTCCATTCTGCTGATCTGGCCTTAAGTCCAATTAGGCAGCTGTTTGTTACTCTCAAGATGAAAGTGCCACTCTTGCATCATTAGGGATCTCTTACCTGACTGGTCATTGCTGTGGTTTGTAGACATCACTGCTGAGAGATGGTTTTTCTCTCTTGGCAGCCTGTGTATCACCTTTAATATTATGAGAGAGCTAGCCCTCAGGGAGGAGGCTTTCAGGTCAGTCCAGTTCAATTTCTCCAAGTACTGTGTCGAAGTTTTTTGCTACTTTTATTAAATAGAGACAGGGTCTCACTCTATAGCCTGGACTGGCCTCCAATTCACCATACTCTGGCCTCAGCTTCTTGAATCTGGAATTACAGGCATATGTCAGCACACCCAGTCCTAGTTTTTCCTCTAAGGCTTTATTTTGAAATTAATGCGTCAAGGTCTTCTTAAAGTAAATTTTATTTTTTAATTTTCATTTAATTTTTAATTTTATTTTTAAATTTAAAATTTTATTTTTAAATGAATGTACCAAGGTCTTCTTTTAAAGTAAAATTGTTGCTTTTGCTATCAGCAGATAATTTGGGTGAGTTCTGTATTCCATTTTCTGAGTGGAGTGTGCGTATGAAAATTCAGTCACATGTGGTCTTAAATGTATTCAAGAATATACAATTAGGAGCTACTCATCAGCAAAGCGTACAAAGGAAGACTCCTAATGCAAAAGAAAATGTAATTCAAAATGTAAATCCAAATGTTCATATGTAGAAGTTCAAAAACATAAATTTGTTTTATTAATTCATTTTAAATTCTTTATCTTTTTAAGTTGCTAAATAAAAATGCATATATTTATCATGTACATCAAAATGTCTGAAAATACACATGCATTTTTGCTGGGACTAAACCAAATCTGCATATTAATTACCTCACATACTATTTTTGTTTATTTGTGAAAACTCAACATCTCTTTTGTGGGTGATTTAAGGATAAAACCTGAAATTTTATATTCCTTGGCCAACGTCTCTCCAACCACTAATTCCATTGCCCTCAGGTAAGGATCATTCTGCTTCCTGCTTCAAAGAGTTCTTTTTAGATTCCACATATAAATAAAATAATCTGCTACTCTTCTCTCTGGCCAGATTATTTCACTTACCATAATGTCCTCCAGATCTAGTCATAGTGCTGAAAATGTCAGAATTTCCTCTTTCGAAAGGCCAAGTGGTATTTTGCTGTGTGTACATGTGTATATGTGTCCATGTATATATTCCTATCACATTTTCTTTATCCATTCTTCCATTGATGGATACTTAGGTTGGTTCCATACCTCAGCTATTTTGAAAAATGTTATTATGAACACAAAAGTGCCGATAACTAACTCTTCTACATGCTAATTTCATTTACTTTGGATATAAGGATTTCCATGTGCTAAAAGGTCATGGTCTGCTCTCATGAAGTCTCTGGAAGGTAATTTTAGTTCATAACCTTATGCTGTGACTTTGTGTGTAGAGCACCAAGAAGCCTTAAAAGAAAAGGTTGTTTTTCTTCATTAATATTTAGCTCAGAAAACAGTGCAAGGTAAAGATGATTCATGTTCCTCTGGTGCTTGTTTGAGCAAAATAAAGGTTATCATATTCTGTTACTTCATTTATCCTTCCAAGACTGGCAATTTGTTGGCTTCTTCAATTTTCCAAAACCATTTCCAAAGCAATGTCACATGCTTGAAATTGTGTTTATAGCTTAATGTTTAAGAGATTGTTTTCTTTATCACGATTAATAACATCAAGGAAGTACTTTACATATGTATCATTATGTGCTCTGTGCCTCATCTTCTCTTCAGTGGAAATGGAAGTGGGTGTATGTATAATGTGATGCAAGAAACAGTGACAGGGGACTAGAGAGATGGCTCAGCATTTAAGAACACTGGCTGCCCTTGCAAAGGACCTGGGTTCAATTCCCAGGACCCATAGCAGCTAAAAACTGTCCATAACTCTAGTTCCAGGGGATCCAATGCCCTCTTCTGACCTCTGTGGGCATTGCATGACACCGGTGCACAATATTTATACACATAATATAAAAATGAAAATAAATAGCTTAACAAATGAAACAGCAACAGCTGCTTGAGGGCTAAGGAAATGCCTAAGCTGTGGTACCATTCTGAGAAAGGCAGAGTTCTCATAGATAGATGATTTTTTTTTTTTTTTTTTTTTTTTTTTTTTTTTTTTTTTGAGACAGGGTCTCTCTGTAGCTTGAGCTGGACTGGAAATCACCACATGGACCAGGCTGAACTCAAACTCACAACGATCCACTGCCCCTGCCTTTTGAGTGCTGGAATTAAAGGCGTGCACTACCACACCCATCAGATGCATATGCTTATATGCTTTTAAATGCTAACATACTCAGTTTTAATGAAGTGAATTCCTTTTTTTAAAAAAAAAAAAACTGGCTATTTTTATTTTATGTGTATAAATGTTTTGCCTGCATGTAAGTGAGTGCACCCATGCATGCAATGCCTGTGGAGGTCAGAAGAGGACATTGGATCCCTTGGAACTGGAGTAGACATTTATTAAATGCCATGTGGATGCTGGGAACCAAACCCAGGTTCTCTGGAAGAGCAACCAGTGCTCTTAACTGCTGAGCCATGTCTAAAATCCCCAAACCTTTCCTTTTTATAGCTTTTTTTTAAAGAGAGATTTTTACTGTATTACAAAAATATTCAGTAAGTTTTCCACTAATGGGGAAAATTCTTAATATGAATTTCTTAATGTTGAAGAATGTTATCCAGCTGCCATACATACACAACTGTTAAAAATACAGGGCTAATTCAAGAGTACTGCTTGAGCCAGGAATTAGAATAAAACAAACAAGAAAGAGAATTCATTCTACTGTACTGGAAAAAAGTTCTTTATTAAGTTAGAATCCCCATGGAGCTGGAGAGATGGCTCAGTGCTTGCTGCTCTTGTAGAATGTGAGTTTAGTTTCCAGTGCCCATGTTGGGCAGCTCATAACCACCTGTAACTCCAGCTCCAGGTTCACACATGTCACATATTCAATGGCCCTCTGACTCTACGGACATATACATAGAGAGAGAGAGAGAGAGAGAGAGAGAGAGAGAGAGAGAGAGAGAGTCTTTTGTATCTGACAAGAGAAGTCTTTTGTATCTGACAAGAGGAGTCCTTTTATAGTTCTGTGACCTTTTTCAAGCAAGCAAGCTCAAAACAAAAGCAGAAATATAAGGTTAGCAATTTAGCAAGGTGTCGGGAGCTGCTAATCATTGAGCTGTGTCAGGCTTGTTTACTGAGTGTGTGTTATGCACACCAGTATCTAATCTGCCTTATCAGGAGGAATATGTTTATATGGAGAGCCTCACAACACCTGACCTTGAGGCAATAGTGGAAGCCTTTGATCTGACCGCTCCCTGACCCTCAGATACAGGTAGGGAAAAACAGCAGTTGTAACTAATTGAGTTCTTCTGTATAAAAAGGCAGAACTGAACTAAATCAAGGCCGCAGTATTCACTGTGAGCCCTCCCAAGCAGCATCTTTTCTGTCTCCTTTCCTTTCTTTCAATCCTCACTCCCCCTTTCAGGTACTGTCCGTTTTGGCCGGCTGGCACCGGCAGCAAGGCTTACACAAACTTTACAGCATACCAGGAAATCTTGAGAAAAATCTTATGGCTAAAAGTCTCCTGACACTATGGTCAGCTAGTTTCGAGAAACCCATTTTGCAAGTCAAGGTTTGCTGATTTTTAAAAATACCCTTTGTGATAGAATAGGAACATGAATCTTCAAAAGAATTAAACATTAAACCCAGGAAAGCAACCCTTTTACCTTAGCTGAAAAAGTTAGACTGATAATTCAACTCATATCAAAAATATTGAAGGGAAAAAACATGGAAATTACAGAAGTCAAACGAGGTCAGCAAGGAGCCAGTCTCTAACAACTTGACTGAATGGCTTCTCTGTACTCCTAGGCATTGTGTTTCTAAAATCGGCATGCTCACGATGACAAATGCTCAACGTACAAAGTCCTATTGATGAGAGCAATGAAGGAAAATGTTGTAGACATGTTCTCTTTGGGCTGGTATTTTAGGGTTTCAAGTCTCACTATGCCAAAATCAGGCACGGAATTCTGAGTACTAGAGAGCCAAACACTTGAACAATGTATACTTTTTGTAGCTATAAGTGAAACCTTCTAAAGGAGAGGCCAAAGGTAAAAGCACTAGGCCTAAGTAAAGTATCCACACCCCCTTCTTCCTTCTCCTCCTCTTTCTTCTCCTTCTTCTTCTTCTTCTCCTTCTCCTTCTCCTTCTCCTTCTCCTGCTTCCGCTTCCGCTTCCGCTTCTGCTTCTGCTTCTGCTTCCGCTGCTGCTTCTGCTTATTATTAACATCATCATTATTATTATTATTATTATTAATGGGACAATAAGCTGCTAAGTAAAACAACCAATCGGAATTCCAGACCTGTCCTGGTTCATAGTAACAGTCTCTGGACTTGAATTACCTTACAGAACTCATCAGAAACGCCATGGGTTGGGCTAGTTTCGCTACCCAAGAGTCTCTGCATTGTGCTGTTTCTTATTCCTGTCAATTCCTTTACCATCAAAGCAGGCAAATTGTGCTCTCAGGGTTTTTATAGCTGTTTGATCATGGCTGGAAAATATCAACAAATCTTTACAAATCTCTTATGGTGACATCACTTTTTTTCACAGTTCCAAGAAGAAATATTTCAATTAATCATCCATCCATTAAGCAACAATGCATATACTAATATTTTCATTTTAGAGTTGGGTAAACTGAATGATCATTACAGACTTCCAGGAGCTAAACTATACAGAGATAGATCCTCCTAGTGTTTTGCTCCTTAAATTTAGTATAATGCAAAACAAGTTCGGTTATTAAACGATGAGAAAATTCCAGTGCTTAGTAACATGAACCCAGAGAATTGCATCCAGGATGAGAAAAGCTTCCCACAAGTTAATTTAGGTGGAACTGCTATTGTTTCTTTCCAAATATTTTAGGGCAGCTTTTCTTTCCCATTATGTGGTTCCAGAAACCCCTATATCGCAGTCTCCTGCAGATTTTATTTAAAATGCTCTTTCCTTCAGAGATGGATTACCAGGCTCCCGGGAATGTCTTCCCTGACCTCACACTACAGTCTCATAGTCAAGATCTTTAACAGAGCTGTAGTTGGCCATAGCAGGTCTCAGCATTAAGTCTCCTTTTCCTCATCTAGAGGATTTTAAGTTAGTTTCACTTTCCAGTTTCCTCTTCCCTTTCACAAAGATAGTTCCTCAGAAACGGAAAGAAAGCATCAGCTGCTGCAGTCCTCCCCCACTGTCCCTTTATATAGTCCCTTGGGTGTCTACCTGAGGCAAACTGGGAAGATTTCTGAAGAACAGTTCAGCTTGGTCCCCAGCTTTTCAGAGCAGCCCAGAAGCAGACCACCACCATGAGGTCAGTGCAATCAGAACCGGCTGCCTCTTTGGTTCTCCAGATAAATTATAAACTTCTCCCTTCAGGGCAGACTCTGAGTTGTCTGGTTGCTTATAGATCAATCATACCTGTATTAACTTGTCCTTTATATATTTTTCCTTTGATTTTTATTTCTGTAGCCTTCTCTGATCTGTATGCTCACGTTCCTAAAATTTCTAGAACTGCTCACTGGGTGGCAGTTGGACTAAGAGAGAGGCTGGACAGGAAAGGTTAGATCCACTCAGGTACAAAGTGTGTCTCAAAGCTAGAACTAATGCAATTACTTTTAATGAGCTTTTCTGTTATTAGAAATGACCAAGCCAGAAGCACACATATGCACTCGGGTGCGTGTGCGTGTGCGTGTGTGTGTGTGTGTGTGTGTGTGTGCATGATTTTCAAAGGAAGTGCTGATTCACTCTTCAGCAGATGCTATGAAAGATAGAATCATGCCTGCAAGCACAACTCATTCAGAGCTGAAATGTTTAATCACTTTAAAAGTAAATGCAGCTGCTAAAGGTCTGCCATTCCCAGGGAGAACGAAGAGAAAAGGATTCCTTTCCCACCAAATACCTATGGAGGAAGGATTGCAGGACTAATGGCTCAGGGAGGGCAGATGCTGGGGACTACTCAGGAAAAGCAGACAGACTACGATCCTACTCTCAGCCCCAAGGGCTGTAAATATTCAGCAAAGCCATAGTTGGAGATGGAGAGAGTGAAAAGCATCCACTGCCAAGTACTTTAGGTGCCTTTTCCTGCTTAATGGACTTATGACAAGATTGGTGTTAGTTGTTTCTACTTGAGTATGGCTGACCAGAAAGCCAAGACCTTGCCTGCACAAGAGGCTTTGCCATGATTTGTATTTGGATGGGTCTAGAGCCTCCAATGTGAGCAGGTCTGAGGGGGACCTTGTAGACTCTGCTGGCCTGAAGTCTACATCAAGGTGTTCTGTAGACACAGAGGTATCTTGGGCTGCCCTTCCTCAACAGTGTTAAAAATTACTAAAGGTGGGGCAGGAGACAGTTAAGAGCTGACTGCTCTTGCAGAGGACCCGGGTTTGATTCCCAGCACCCACATGGTGGCTGTGAACCGTCCTTAACTTCAGTTCCAGGGGAATTCAACACCCTCTTCTGACCTCTGCGGCCTTGCACAACAAGGTGCACTCACATACATGCAGGCAATACACTCATACTCATAAAATAAAAATAATAATAAAATATTTTTTAAAAAATTACTAAAGGAAGAAATTACCTTGGAAAACTCCTAGAACCTTCTGGGTATTTGCCTCCTGCAGAGTCTCACTGGAAACTTCATGCATAGCTTCTTCAGTTGTGGTCTTTCAGTGTCTGTTTGAAATTGAATATGCATTTGTCTAACTCACAACCTGCCTTACCAATTTGTGCATTATGTCTATGTCTCTGTATTAGTTACTTTTCTTATTACTGTAACAAAGCAATCGTCTTATTACCTGGCAAAAGCAACTTAAGAAAAGGAGGCTTATTTTAGCTCAGTTCAAGGGTACAGTCTTGGTGGCAAAGCATGAGCTAGTCACAATCCATCCACAGTGGAGAAGCAGAGAGAGGTGAATGCTTCTACCCAGCTTGCTTTCTCGTTTTTAGTTAGCCTGGGCCCATGGGATGATGCCACCGATAGTTAGGGTGGGTTTGCCCTGCTCAGTTAAAACTTTCTGCATACATCTTCATAGACACACCCAGAGCTGTGTTTCCATGGTGTTTCTAAAGCCCATAGGTTGACAGTGGAGATTATTAACCACCGAAGTCTCTTTCTGCTTTATAGTCAGGCAGAGTAAGGACATGGGCAAGTGGGAGCTGAAGGCAGGCAAGGACAGGGCTCACCAAGAGCTTGAAGAAGTGGGCGCTCAAGCCTCTTCAGCACAATCTGGCTTATGAAAACGGGGACTGAAAGGAAGTTCCTGAGGTCCTGGTCCATTTTAGTTTCCTATATTTAAAGACTAAAGCAGAATCAGAATTTCATCAAGGAAAACAGTCTTGGTTTTAAAACCAAGACATGTCATTTGAAACTAGTTTGTCATGACATTGTGTCTAACCACAGTATTTATTGTGTGGGACTGTTGTGATTGTGTAGACATATTTAATACTAAAGGAACAATTATTAAATAATAATTTGCTTCATAACAAATTGACTTATATGTTGTCATATCAGCTAAAATGGTTAAATTAAAATATGATTCCTATATTTTAAGAATATAAATTAATTTCAAGAAATGATTACTTTTGCTCCAAGGTAAAATTTATCTCTGTGTTTAGATATGTTTTATATAAAATAAGCATTTTCCAAGCCTATGTAAAACACCTCCTTTCACTTGTTTCTCCATTTCTGTGACAAAATACTCTGACTAATACCAACTTGGGAAGCAAAAGTTTTATTTGGCTTACATCTCCTAGGTCATAATCATCATGGAGCCCAAGGTAAGAATTCAGAGCAGGAACCTGGAGGCAGGAGCTGGAGCACAGGCCATGGAGGAGTGCTGCTTACTGGCTTGCTCCCCTGGCCCCTGCTAAGCCTGCTTTCTTATGCAACACAGGCCCACCTGCCCAGGGGTGGCACCACCCACAGTGGGCTGGGCCCTCCCACATCAGTCATCAAGAATATGAAGACATGGCCACAGGCCAGTACAATAGACGCAACTCCCTGGTTGAGGCTCCCACAACCCACGTGTGTCAAGCTGACACTACAGCTATCCAGCACAGTGATGATATGATAAATATGTATGACTTATTGTAACACTACAATAAATCTAAAAACTTCAATTCAGAATACAGGCAATCGTGTGTGGGGTAGGGGGTGACAAAGACAATATTAAATCTCAAAGTTTCTGCTCCTAGGTTGGGGGAGTGGCTCCTGAGGCCCCGCAGCCCTTGCTGAGGAGCTTGACAGGGACTTACTGAAGAGTTGACAGGGACTGAGGGAGAGAGATTCACTTTCCTTTGGGGATGTGCTCACTGTCCATGCCCCAGTGGATGACCCCACACCCCAGGACCATATGGACAGCACTCATTGGATTCAGTGGTTTAAGGAAAAAGAGAGGAAGAAAACATGAAGTTGGGAAGAAGAAGCACTGGGGAGTCCTGGGGAAGCTGGAGGGAGGTAGTGGGAGTAGATATGATCAAACTATACTGCATATATGTATATGTACATGTATATGTATATGTATATATATGGAATTTTCAAAGAATAAAAATTTCTTCTAGGATGATAGAAAGTTATGAATCCATAACACACTCTTCAAAATACATCCATTTTAGTACCTCTCTAAGCATTAACTTGATGATCTACCTATAGTCTATCCTTGTTCCCTTGGAACTGTCCCTTTTCTTCCAGTTCAGGAGGCCCAGGTGAGCCCAGAGCTTCTTTGACCAGGTTTGTTGGGACCCAGGAATACCTAGGCAAATGCCCTCCCAACGGTGTGTGAGGGTGTTGGTATTAGACTAGCTTAAGGACAGAGTCCTTCCAGGCCAGTAGTGGGTCACTCAAAACTGCCAGCATCTGGCACAGGGAGTTCCACTTTGTTCTGTTGCAAGTCAGGCTTGAAGCAATGATCTCAATCTCATCAGAAATTGTCTCCTTCACTCTTCATATTTCCTCTGCAGTCCACATTTGTTTTTGAGACAAGGTTTCCCTGTGTAACCCACGTTAGCCTCAGACTCACTTTGTAGCCCAAGGTTGTCTCAAACTCACAATTCTGCTTCAGACCCCTCTCCCCAAGTTCTGGGATTACATGTGTGTGACACCATGCCCAGCTGTGGAGTCTATTTTTAATTCATTTATACACATAATTTCTAGCCACAGGTTATACACAGGAAAGTTATAATATGTAAATAAGATTGAATTTCCTTTCCCTTAGACTGGGAATTAATTCTGGGAAAATATCTGAAAAGATTCTGAAGTGATTTTCTAGTTGGTTTAACAACTGAAAACTTGTTAGCGGGCTTATGAATAGTTAAGAAGCTATATCCATAAATGGATCTGTCTCCCTGGAGTTTGAATTTAGAACCATGCCAAAACCCCACATAAAGCAGCCTTCTGGTGTCATAAACAAAATACATATACCTTGGATCATTTCCAGGTTCAAAGACTTGGGTCTTCTAGAGATTTTGAGATTTGCCAAAAGATAATTAACCAGGAGTGAGAGTACACTCCCATAATCTGAGCACTTTGAAGGCAAAGGCAGGAGGAGCGAAAGTTGGAGGTCAGCCTAGGGTTCCATGCATCTTCCAGGCCAGCTTGAACAGCACAGTGAGACCCTATCCCCAAAATGATTTTTTTAGTTATAGAAAGATGATAATTGAGTACATGAAGATGGCTACTGTTAATATACTACATACTTGAAAATTATTGAAATAGATTTTAAGTGTTCTTGTCACAAGAAACAGGTATCCAAAGTGTTCATGTTAATGGATTGACACAGCCATTCCACAGCTCATACACATATTAAAACATCTTGCTAGAGCAAAAATACACACAATTTTTAATTGCAAACTCAATCATTTTTTAAAA